TTGAAAAAAGGGGAAAAAAAACAAGCCACCTAGCGCCTCCAACAACCCCCCCCCCCCCCCCCCCCCCCAAAAAAAAAAAAAAAAAACCACACATACAAAAGGTAAGAATCCGTCCTAGAGCAAATGCCAAGTTGACATTGGTCGGTATTAATTATTTTGAAGTGCCATTAGTGCAAGTCCTTGCACCATTATTTTTGTATGTATCATTCACTTGCTTTGTGTTACAGAATATCCTTTCCTTGTAAGCACAAACTTTTGATTCTTACGTTGTTCTTCTCGCAGGTCTTTGAAGGAGACTGCAGTTTCCTTGCTGGCATAATGGAATCTTCAGATGAACTGTATGCTGCAGCGGCTAGCCTGGGTGTCGGTTTTCAGCTCTTCTGCTCCTATTCATCTGAGATGACTGATGAAATCTTATTAAGCTGCATTGGATATGCTGTTAAATTGACTAGAGGCCTGTATCCTAAAATGCCCGAATCAGAAACTCTAGCAGAATCTTTTCTTACGGCATTTCCTTCGATTAATCCACTTTCAGCTCATGCGATTCTATCTTCAGGAGGCGTGCTTGTTGAGTTCCTTCAATGGTCACATGAGCATAGGATTCGTGCAGTTGAAAAATATCATGTTCCTGATGAAAGTGTCATGTTATTAAGTGCTTTGGTCAGATATGGAGAGCGGGAGGATTCTAAATCTGGAATGACAGACTGCTCCTCTTCTGTATCGTCTGTGCCAGATTCAGAGAATTGTCGTGGTAAAAGTGACTCCGAGAGGAGCAAAGGAAAATGCACTAGAAGTTCTCATCACACCCACATACCTGTGGAAGACTTATTGTCTTTCAAGTCATTAAAGCTATTTACGGAAGGCAGTCCGAGTGCTCTTAGAGAATTCAAGCAATATAACTCTTGGATTTCAACAAGTCCTGAAAAGTTTGATGACGTTGGGAAATGCAACATGTCATTTGATGATATATTGTTCAGTCAAAAACAACAACCTGATATAAATAGTATGAAGAATCCTTCCAGAGTATGTAAGCCATATGATTTCCAGATGCCAGAAATTGAAAAAATCGGTCTACCTATGAATGATATGTTTTTGGGTAAAGATCAGGGATTAGATAAAACAGCGATGACTAAGTTGGATGGGCGCAATAATACTATATCTGGAAGTCTGCAGCATAATTTTTTTGGTGAAGTTATTGACATTAATGATAAGGAATTTTCAATTGCAAACTCCTCAAGTTTTTTGCCTTTGGTGCCTGAGATGAAAAGAGATTCTGCTGCAGGAATTTCTACGACTGCAAGAAGATTGTCATTTGGTACATGCAATCTTCCTACTTTTCCAACAGCTGCTGAAATTAACTCTGATTCGGATGCCTGTATTTTTATTGGGGATCCTGGACAAAGTTTGAGGGATGGAATTAATCAGCATTCAGATGCATATTTCAACAATGACAACATGCCTCCAAAGCACCCACATAAACTTTCAGAGGAGGGCAATCTGAAAATTTCCACAAGTTTTCATAATCCGTCATTCCAGCAAAAGGATATGAGACATTATGGTGGAACTCCCCTTTCAAATGCCATTTCCTCTGCTCAACAGCAGCAAGGATCACCCTGGACAATAGAATTTCTGAACAGAATCAGGGAAAAAAGCAGATTGCGTCAGCAGTCTCTGCCACACGACTTTTCTGCCCCTTGTTTTCGGTATTCTGGGAATATATCAAAGGCTACTAAGAGGAAAAGTCCATCTATTCTTGACTTTTACAAGTACCAAGGTGGCAGCACTCCCAAGAAAATTATTGAGCAAAGGAGGCAAAAGCGATCTATACAGCCTTCAAGTTCATCCAAGAACGAGAAGACTTCAGCTTCCGTTCGTGCAACATGGACTCCAGCTGATAAGAGAGCAAGAAGGGTGTGTTAACTGAACTCCTACTCAGGATGATGGATGGATATGTCTTTAGTGCATATAAATCTTACCCTTGACCCACTGCAGACGCTATCATTTGCAGCAAATGGAAGTGGAGGTCAAAGTAAGCTGGTCTGGAGTGACAAGGATGGTATCCCTCTGAGCAGAAGATCTTACCATTGAAGGTGATATAGCAGGAAGAGCAACAAATAACTTAAAAAAAAGCTTGTTTTGAAGTTGTTGGAAATAGGACTGGTTTGGGGTACCCTTGTTCTTTGTTAATTTGTAGTTTCTGTGTGCAGTTTTGGCAGAGGGAACCTGGAGTGACTGGGCACCTACTGGTGCAACATTTATGGGAAGCAGACATATAACTTGAGATTTTGGTAAGATCAAGCATCAAACTTGTATCCTGGTAGGTCACAGACATTTTTACTTGGGTGAAAATAACGAAAGCAGTAGGCATCTATGTAAAAGATTACTAAGAGATCAACCAATACCAGACACATGAAATGAGATAAGAATCAATTTAATACTTTGATTCGGCCATACAATGTATCTCTCTCTCTCTCTCTCTCTCATATGCACTTCATTCCCTGTATATTTGTGTTGATGCATTGATTTCTTTTGTATTGTATAGTTAAGTGATCTCAGAGTTTGGCATTTGATGACAAATTAGAGATTTATTTTACTTTTGGTTCATTCTAAAATTTGTCATTTTCTTTGATAGGATTACCTAGATCAGCCTTTGTAGCAATTATAAGTTCTTAAAACAATTTGGTCTTGGGGGTTGTATATCTATTTTGTAAGCAGTAGCCAGAGTTGTTGCTATAAACTAGGCAGATAATTCATGAACATTAATGCAAAGCCTGCATGATGGAAAAGAATTTCGTCAATTGGCTTTTCCGTTGGAAATTGTGAATTGAGTTATATTTTCTTATTCATTAAGGAAAATAAACAATAAGCATGAGAAAAACAATTNGCTATAAACTAGGCAGATAATTCATGAACATTAATGCAAAGCCTGCATGATGGAAAATAATTTCGTCAATTGGCTTTTCCGTTGGAACTTGTGAATTGAGTTATATTTTCTTATTCATTAAGGAAAATAAACAATAAGCATGAGAAAAACAATTTTGTGTCAATTGTTGGAGTCTCTGATAGGCACATGTACCTGCTTCACCTATGTGTAATTTGTAGTATCAGGCTTTCAGCGTGGCATCTATAACAGAAATGCTATTTCTTACCATTTTTCAGATTACGCAGGGTCATGACAAGTTGTTGTCTTTCACCTTCTACCTCTGCAAATTTTAGACTTATCTCTGAATATTTCTCTTGCATTTCTTTCAGCTCATTTTCCATGTGCATGTTCCTTTCCTTCAATGATTCTGCTTCACTTACAAGCCTTTTCATTTCTGACTGCAAAAATCCAACTAGGGTCTCCTTCTCATCCTTCAAAGTCCTTAAAATTATTGATTCCTCCTGAAATTTCTGTGCTTCCTTGCTCAGTAAGGCAAATTCCCGCTCCAGTGCTTCTCTTTTTTTAGTCCATATTTTTGGAACCTTGAACTGACCAATTGATGTTTTCATTTCTTCCATCTCAGCTCTCATTGTTTCTTTCTGCTCTGCGTCTTCTGGGTAGCCCCTTTTCTCCAATTTGAGCCTTTTTATCTCCTCTTTGAGTGTTTTCATCTCAGTTGAGAAAGCGTCATGCTTTTCTTGTTCACGTCTTTTATAAGTTTCAACTTGCTTGCGGCTGTCTTCAAGTTCCAGTGACATCTGCTCCAGTTGTGTGGCTTGCAGATTTGTTTGGTTTAAAAGTTCTTGCAGTTTCTCTTTGCACTGATCTTTCATTAACCTGAGCTCTTCATTTGCTTTCTGGACCATTTCCTCCATAACTCCATTCTGCAAACTCAAATCTTTAGCTTTCATGGCTAGATTCTCATTTGCGTCAATCTTGGATGCCATTTCCACAGAAAGCCTTCTCAATTCCTCCTGAAGCCGCTCAGCAGCATTTGCATTATGCCACCGTGTCTTTCTTAAAGCCTCTTCTGCTTGGATTGCCCTCTGCTCCTGTTCAACTTTGGCTTGCGTCAAAGCATGCAAATCATCTTGAAAACTTTGTGTCTGATTCTCCAGTTGTTTCTGCGAGCTCTTAACCTGGGTTTCCAGCTCATTAATGGTATCTAGAGATTCTGAGAATTCTAGTGCTTGCTTGTTGATTTTTTTCTCTAATCTGTCTATCTGGATTTGAAGCTCTTTTATGGTAGCTATAGATTCTGAATATTCAGTTTGCATCTTCATCTGTTCTATCTGCTTCTGCTTTAACTTGGAAGAGATATCTTGGTTTTCCTTCTTTAAAATATCATATTCCAGAGCAAGTAGTTCCATATGCGTTTTTAGCTCTTCGTTATCTTTCCGGTGGACAAAAATTTCACCATTCAGGGCTGTAATCTTCTTCTTTAACGAATCTGCTTCTTCGTCATTGTCATTCTCCTTAATTAGTTCTCCCATTGCTTTCTCATCTTCATCCCAATTTATTCTGCTCTTGGAGGCTTCAGCATGAGCCTCTTTGGCATTTTGTCTGGCCTTAGTTTTGCTCGTAAGATGAGACATTTCCCTACCCTTTTCCTCCAACATGCCTTCAAGGTCTCTCACAGCAAAAATCAATTCGGAGTTTGAATCTTCTGTCTTGTGGAGTTGTAGCCGTAGTGTGTTATTCAAGTCCTTCTCATGGTTGAGTTCTTGCACAGTTTGTTCCAGTAAAACTCTTATATTTTCGGCCTTTGATTGTGACTGCTTTTTGACTTCTGCCTCATCACTCCGTTTCAGTGAGGACTTAAGTTCTTCAAATTCTCTTTTAAGTACATCTCTTTCGACTTTTAGGCTAGCAACTTGTCTTGATAGATCGAGTCCCCTTTTGTTCTCCTTCACCATCTGCTTTCGAAGGGACTGCAATTCCAGTTCTGAAACTTCTGCCTGTCTTTCCAGCATAGAAATTTCATTTTTCAGCTTCTCAGTGGCATTATTTGAAGCCTCTGACGACCAGTCTCTTATAAAGTTTTCTTCAAGGCTGGTTGTTGAGTCAACCATACTTCCATTTGAAGCAGAAATCAATGGCGGATTCGTGTTGGACTTAGATCTCTGTTGCTTCTGTTTTTCTGCTGGAATGACATCAACTGTTCCCTTCTCAGGCATGGGCTTCCATCTGAGAGTTGTAAAATCTAGAGGATTAGGAGTATTATCCAATCGAGTATTGTTGAAGCTGCTACTTTGCTCCGTACCCTGAGATGTCATATTGTTGAAGTGCCTATCCTGTGAAACAATCAGAACAAATGCTTGGATTATGATCTTTCCACCTCTACTTAATGTCCTAGTTGTGGAAAATGCCATTTTTTTTCCTGCAATTTAACATATTGAAGTCCTTGATTCTAGTATAATATTAACAGTCATGAGAGGGTTAGAGGGAACCACAAAGGTGGAGAATGTAGGACCATACTTCAGTAAAATCAAGGTTGCTGTCTCCATACTCAATGCAATTGCCTAGTAGGTTCCCCAAGCTTATATCCTGTGATTCAGCCCTTGGAGCTTCATCTTCTTCGACATCTCTGCAAAACTCCCCATAAGGGGAAATCTGGATTTTCAGTAAAGATATCAAAGGTAATGTAGGAAAGGAAAGAAAATACAAAGGTTAACCCAATGTTCATAATCACCTTGAATCATTACTCCGCTGCATCTTCTGAATAGTAATCTGTCCCAGTTAGATTTGAATATGAGAAACTTTTGGAATCATCTACATTTTACTCATTATCATAAATGAGATTGCATTTTTTCCAACAAAGTTACCATTCATTAAAACACAATCATTCGAGTAGTGTATGCAAGAGAGAGAGAGCGAGAGAGAGAGAGAGAGAGAGAGAGGCTGTAATTTGGATTTATTGGTAATGTGTTCTCATATGATGATCTTTTTTNGAGAGAGAGGCTGTAATTTGGATTTATTGGTAATGTGTTCTCATATGATGATCTTTTATGTTTTTCGACTTTTTTCCTATGATAAAAAAACAGAATTTTGTGAGAGTGGGAACCTTACATGTAGTATTGCACTGGAGTTCGAGGCCTCAAGGGGCAGAGAGACGATTAATGGCTTTATTTCCTCTGCATAATCTGCAAAATCAAGAGAAACTTCCCCCAGAAATCCTGATTTTGAAGATCCCTGCAAGAAACCAAGTTGTCATTAGTCATTGATGGAATTCATCTACAGAAAGAGTTCAGTAATTGTGATAGTTTCTTACAGTTGACACGATAAAATGGTAAATTTTCTGTTTGAATCTTCCAGTTTTTGTGTCTCTGATTAATTTTACTGTTTCATAGATCGGATGTTCCCAGGTACAGGTTCCTTCTAGAATTGGAGCTTTCTCTAGTCTAACCGTTGGCTTTCCGATATCTGCTGGAACTAATGATATATTCAGGGTTTTTCTTCTTAGCTGTGGCACCTGAAAGCACAAAACCAGTTGACAGGTCAGAACATTACTCCAAAAATCTTGAATTACTTGTTCACACTGCTTATATTTTCTTGGTTTCCTGTCGATTTTTATGTGGATAAAGTCCTATCAATTGAATGTTAATGTAGTTCTGATCCAAAAAAAAAAAATGTTAATGCAGTCAAACATTTCAATGGCTTTGATCTTAACAAATCACAGTACCTGAGTTGCTTGAAACCGCAATATGAATACAGCTTTGATCTTGTTCTTCTCGCTCCTCCATCTTGCCGACTTGAACATCCTTGCTGGAATTAATGTTTTAAATCCTCGGAAATCCTGAACTCTCACTCACCCCTCATTGGGATTTCAAACAATGTGGAAGATATGGTTTACCTTCCTAAACACTTTTGTGTTCTCAGAACTTGTAGATGGATAGCTGTGGCGTACAAAATAATCCGAGCAAAGCTAAAAGGCTTTCAGTTTGTTAGATGTTCCTTGTGGTTGAAAAGAATTAGATGCTTTGCAGAGTTATGAGTAGGAACTGAAGATTCAGAACTTAAAATAGCAGAAAATCATGAGTTTTCTGAAAACTTTCTTTACTAAAACAATATATCTTGAGTAACAATTGGATCGCATTAAATTTTCCTGTATACCTGCATGTGGGCTGTGGGCACTAAGTTGTACAGCTTTTAATGATGTAGAAAGATGTCCCTTTGCTTCTGTACTATACCTTCACAACTGAAAAGTACAAACTTGTTTTAATCTTCCATTGCAAATCCGATAGCCGCAGTCAGNGCTTTTAATGATGTAGAAAGATGTCCCTTTGCTTCTGTACTATACCTTCACAACTGAAAAGTCCAAACTTGTTTTAATCTTCCATTGCAAATCCGATAGCCGCAGTCAATTTGGAGTTCGTGACTGTTTTCGTCCTTAGTTGCTGCTTCATATAGATTCTTTTAGTATTTTTTTTTTTTTTTTGCATTTACACTTTTTTTTCCTTTTGGGTTTGTTCATTTCTCTAAACTTAATCACATATAATTAGTTGGTATGAGTTACATATTATGTATGTATAATAAGCATCTAGCCCGCCGTTGCCAGGGTACGGCATGTTAGATTAGTTAAGGAAAGGGATGATTTGCTATCACAATACACAAAGCAGAAAAGGTATCCATGGTTCACTGCTTTAAGCAAGCTATGGCATTGCTTCGTGCTGTCAATAAAGTGTCCGTGATCAGGATGCCTTCCTCAACTTGGGAAACGATTCTACCCATTAAACTGTTCAAGACCTGTGACCAAAGGCATGGGGAGGGTGACTAGCCTTTCGGCCAAGCCCCAATGTTCGTGCCAGTAGCGCTCTCTGTGATAATATTTATTTCACTGCTACTGCAATGGCAATATTTTAACTTTTCTGAAATCAACGGTTGGTGTCATTTTACAATTTAGGGTAAGGTTCTGATATTGACGTTAAGGGCATAACTGCATTAATTTTGATCATATTTTGAATTAGATGATCTAAAAATTATTGTTTGAACAATCAAAGAATAAAATTGAACTAGTGATATAGTTTTATTAATTAAAAAGTGCAGGTACGATAGCACTGTAGTCTGTAGTGAGACTCTGCATTTTTATTGCTAAATTTTGTTGGCCAAGCTAATGTTATTATACGTTGGATCAAGCCCTCAGCTTCCTCAGACTCGGATATGGCCCAGCATCAAACGCAGCTTCATAATGGTGCCCTTCCAGCGGTGTCCTATGCATGTAAGTGCTCTGTCTATGATAGAGTTTCTTATTTGTAGTCACATCCCTGCCACAAATGCTATTTTTAATGCCTATTTCCACGTGAAGGCATGTGCTCTCTCTCTCTCTGCGCAATTTCGTTTTTAGGATTTTATATTTCCTTTTTATATATGCTGTGTATGAGCTGGCGTCGTTCATTAATTTCTCGGGGCTTTACCGCCTGCAGGTGCATGTTTTTCTCATGTTCCATTTGGTACGATAAAAAAATAAAAAAATAAAATGATAAAAAATTAGAAAGATAAATAAAATATTATATTTAATAAAAAAAAAATAAGAAGAATGAAAAAGTGAATGAATTAATTTTACTTTTAATTTATAAAAATCAATTTCTCTAAAATCGAAAGAAAAGTGAATAAAAAATTAATTATTTATTTTGAGATTTATTTTATTTGTTTATATATATTATGTATATATTAATTTAATATAAAAATATAATGATAAAATATGTATTTATATATATATATATATTTAAAAAAAAGTAAAAAAATAAAAAATATTTTTTTCATCTTAACTAGGGGTAAAAATTTTTGATTTAACACGATGACACGATTCTGAATTTGGCATAAATTTTATGACACAAATTTGATTATAATTTGATACCAACTTAAAAATAATCTGACAAATTTTGATCGTCAACTCTAATTTTAGTTATCACAAAAAAAAATTAAATATTTTTATTTTTCATTTATCCAATTCAACATAAAAGAAGAAAAGTATATCATTTTTATTTTTTATCTTTGAAGAATATAAAATATATTCTTTTTATTTTTTATCATTCTTATCGAACGGAGTACTAGTGAATCGTCAAGTGGGGTAACTAAATGCTTTAATACTGAGAGAGAGAGAGAGAGAGAGAGAGAGAGAGAGAGAGAGAGAGAGAGAGCCCATGGGCTTGTGGCGTCCGGATTTCGCTTGGCTGGATCACTGCCTCACTGAATCCCAGATTTATGCTTTAATACTGAGAGAGAGAGAGAGAGAGAGAGAGAGCCACCCTAATGTTTGCTGGGGTCATCCATTTCTCCGCTCTGTACGCTATTTGACCAACTTAAATTTCCTTTTTATAACAAAAAATCTATAGTTGAACCTTTTGAGGCATATATTTATAGGATTAATGCTATTTAAACTTAATTATTTATAATTATTGGATTGACGGTGAGTTCTAATATTTATTGAAACATACAATTAATTTAATAGTTGTAATAAATTAGCCTAATAAATTATGTTAACAAATTAAGTTTAAATAACATTATTATTTTAGTAGAGAATATAACGTTTACAAGGGGTAAGGTGAAGTACGAAAATAGTATTATTTACACCCAAACTTTAGGTAGATATCATTGGGTGTATTATGTTATACACAAACATTAAGAAAAAAAATTAAAACTTTGGCGATATTTTTTCTAAAAATAGGACCCTTTAATTTAAAAGTTAGTAATTTGGTATGGACATATTTAAACAAAACATGGTACAAATTAATTACATGACTCATCACACAACAGTCCACTAATGCAATCATTTACAAAACAATCCCAACAACATAATAGTGATATATTAAATCCACAACTATCAATTGAAGCAAATAAAAATTTGATTCACTAAAAACAAAATTATATGTGCTAATTCTTATAAGCATGAAAATTTACGTACATAAGAAGATGCTCATTAAGAAAAAAATAATAATATCACGTTGAGATCTCTAAGAATATTAAATCAAAGTCATCTCATAATACATCTTTCTATGCATAAAATCAAAATTTAGAATCATTTTATTATATATTTCTCTAATTCTAAAATCAAACTTTGTTTAGACGTACATCTATATAACTCAAGCAAAAAGTGGCAACATGTAATACCTTTCATAAAACTGAGGCACCCTTCTACCAAGCAATATTTGATGATGCAAAAAATAGTTTTGTACACTAGTTGTCAAGTGTAAATAATAAATGTAATAAAAATAAAGAGAGAATTGGAGGAGACAAAATTTATAGTAGTTTGGTCAACTTGACCTACGTCCACTCTTGAATGACTTTCGTTGTCTGGTACTTTATTAATTTAAGGGTGTGGAGACAGAAAATACAAGCTTCGAGGGAGAAGAGAGAGTCAGGGAAGGTGTGATGCCAGACAATCAGTCTCCTCCTAAGTGTTGATAGAGTGCGCAATTTATAGTGGCTCCTTAACAGGTTGGAGTTACTTTTCAGCGACTAAGCAACCATTTCGGTGGAGCTCCGATTTCTTCTCAACGAGCGAGGTGGTTGAGGAGTTCTCCATGAGACGCGGTCAAAAATATGGTGAGGATAAATCGTTTCCTTCGGTGGTGCAGATAAGACTTTCCATGCTCTCTCCTTGATGACATGGCTAAGCAAAAAGTTTAACTTGGTCTTGGACTATGTTGGGCTTGGTGGATCTTTAAATGAGGTAGGGCTTCTTAATTGAGATTTGAACTTTGCACATAGATTGGGTCATTTTGGGCTTGACTCATCATTTGCTTCCCATTGCCTCGTGTTCAAGGAAAGCTTGGAGAAGGAGGTATTGACTCTTCATTTGTATATTTTTGGTTTTGGTGCAAACTCCAAACCTTTTCCACTTTATTTTGAAGAGGGTCCATAATCTTCAATTTGAGCATTTTCCCTCTTTTTAAAAAAAATTCTAGACTATAAATATAGTCTTCTTCTTCATCTTACCAATTTTATTGAAAATTTAAGAAGAAAAAGTGTGTTCTTCTTAAATTCTTCCAAGAGTGGGATTTCTTTCTTTCTAGTAGAATTTCTCAAGTGGGCAATGTCAATTGAAGAGGAAATGGTGGAGATTGAAGAAAGGGAGGAGGTAGGCACCATTTTAGGAAACTTGGAGGCTGGTTTTGACCATTTGGGTGCTGTCCTGGACAGCCTTGATGCCGAAAATGGTGGACTGGACAAGCTAGGTACCGAAGGTGGTGGGTTGGACAGCTCAGTTTCGCCAACCTCTTCGCTGGACAGCACCTTCGTGCGAATTAACGCGCAGAGAGACGGTGTGGGCAGCGCGTAAGGAGGTGGATTGGGTAGTGTAGGGGAGTTGGGCAACGCACAAGATGGTCTGGACAGTGCGCCTGATGGACTGGACAACACAAATGTGCGACTGGACAGTGCGCACGCGCAATCTGGCAGACTAGGCAGCGCGTGCGTGATGCTTGGTGGGCTGGGCAGCGCTGTGTAGGTTGGAAAAAGAGCTGTCCAAGCCAGCAGGAGTGTAGCAAGGGAACTGGGCAGCAGCCTGGATGGTCTGGACAGTGCGCCTGATGGGCTCGGCAACACAAACGCGTGATTGGACATCGCGCGCGTGATGCCTGGTGGGCTGGACAGCGCAATGCAGGCTAGAAAAAAGAGTTGTCTAGGACAGTAGGAGCGTAACAAGGGAGCTAGGCAACAGCCTAGGTGCATGTGCAGGTCTGAGCGTCACTCTAGGCGTTGATTCGGGCATCGTAGGCGTTGATTTTGGTGCCAAAAATGTTGTTTTGTGCAATTTTG